ACTAGACCAGTTACATAGAGCGTGTATAGGCTATTAATAGGCAAGTCAAATCTCATGTAAATATAACAACTAGACCAGTTGCATAGAGCGTGTATAGGCTATTAATAGGCAAGTCAAATCTCATGTAAATATAACAACAAAACCAGTTTACATAGAGCGTGTATAGGCTATCAATAGGCGAGTCAAATCTCATGTAAATATAACGACAAAACCAGTTTACATAGAGCGTGTATAGGCTATCAATAGGCGAGTCAAATCTCATGTAAATATAACAACAAAACCAGTTTACATAGAGCGTGTATAGGCTATCAATAGGCGAGTCAAATCTCATGTAAATATAACGACAAAACCAGTTTACAAAGAGCATGTATAGGCGACCTCTATCTATAGTTAACAATGGGCAAGTCAAATCTCATCTATATCTAAGGACAAGACCAGTTACATAATGTATGTATAGAAGACCTCTAGCTATCAATGGGCAAGTCAAATTTCATGTAAATCTAAGGATAACACCAGTTTACATACAGTATGTGTGGGCTATCATCACGCATGTCAAATCCTATCTACATCAAACTATGAGACCCGTTTACATAGAGCATGCATAGGCAACCTCCATTTTCAGCTATCAAAGGGCATGTTACAACCTTATCATCAAGCTCTAAAACCAGATACATACAGTATATACAGGATATAAATGTGTTTGTTGCAACTTATCATCAAAATCTAAAACCAGATTACATACAGTAAATACAGGCTATCAATGGGCATGTTAAAGTGTATGTAGATCGAGATGTTTACAGATGCTAGTTCAAGCAGAAACCATCCAGTATTGATGATTGGGACTTAAACAGTCTACCTCCAAGCATCGGTGAATGCTGAAACGTTTCCAGCCTGTTGTATTTTTCCATTCAGTCACTCAATGTATCAATTTTGAAACGTTGCCGTCGATTGTTTTGACTACCCATTAACTAATTAAAACAACCCAGAAAACAGGCAATCTAAAAACTACATGAATTTAGCACAACACAGCCCCAGCTCACAGACTATGAATGTGGGTATAAAAGATGGGTGAACGATAGTAGTTGGTTTTTTGACGTCTGACTAGTGTGTAAGGACATAATAATAAATAAGAGGTAAAAATCATTGTGTAGTCTGTTGGGTTTATTTAATTCGACGCTAACAAAGACTATTTCTATCAATGGGCATGTACAAACTTAACATCAATATCTAAAATCAGATTACATACAGTATGTACAGGCTATCATCAATAGGCATGTTGGTGTTACAACTTGAACATCATCTATTGAAATATCTGCGTAGTTCACGGACTGAAACATTCTATATCCCTAAAGCAAACAACTTTAAACGTAACTATCGCACTTAGTCAAACAGAAAGTTCTGATAGGTTGCGGCATGATCATAAAATTCTGAAACTTTATCCCTCGATGTATTACTACATTACGGATTTTATTGTAGCTGTACTTTTGCAACTGCTTCCAATAACAAAATCAATCAATGTTTATTGATCTTTATCACAATGGTTGTCTAGATTATCTTCACAATAATTTAGAAAGAAATTTGCACTATGACGCTTTTGAAGTGATCTAAATGGATTTTCTTAGAAAGAAAGAAAATAGTTAGAGTGATCATACCTACCGCACACACGGATGAGAAAGGAAATATTGTTCTCTTTTGTAAACTGAACCATTTGAAGTATTACAAGTGTATGTTCAGTGGTGTACGTGAAATTCATCACAAAGGGATAAGCTTGCATTGACTTCGTTTAACCACACAAATATAATAGGAAGAAATGTGTACGTTTAAGGGGGTCGTCCATAAATGACGTCACACTCGAAAATTTGTGACGGTGTGTGATGAGAGGAGGTGGGGGGGGGGGGGGGGTGGTGCGACGTCACACTTTTGCATTATAAAAAAAGCCATGTTAGAAAATTAATTTTAGACGTTATTTCGCGTTTTAGAAAACAGTTTTAATAAATTGTAATAGGAATTGATTAAAATAATCTATATAGACAGTTCAGACAAGATTTTGGAAAAATATCGATGTTTTAAGAAAAATTCAACTGCAATTTTGAGGTGGGTTGTAGGCTGAGGTGTGACGTCATTTTATGGATGGGGGGTTTGGCTTTTTGTGACGATGTGTGACGGAGGGGGGGGGGTAAAAATCGTCAAAAAAAGCGTTACATCATTATATGGATGACTCCTAACCTGTGATGGGAATGACGACGATCACAAAAAGGATAGACCTTATTCAATGCAGAAATATACTAGGGAGAAATGTGTACTTTGGCTTAAATGTAGTTTAACCAGTGATCGGAATGACGGCTATCACAAAAGAAGGTCAGACTGACTAACCCACCGCTAAGCGAGCTATGTAACAGATCTGGCCTAACCCAGGGGACACACCAGGACAAGTGTCCCTCAGCCACGTTCGTTAACCCTGGGGTCGGTTAGCGCCTGGTTGACAAGATGGGGGGGGGGGGGGGGGACGGACGCTATCTTAAGTGCCGGAGTGAAGGGAAATAACTCGCGATTTCAGCGTCGTTATAAAATTTATAAGAAATAAATTTGTAGGGAAAAATATTGATTGATAGCGGGATGGAATTAGCGAAAATATTTCGTCTTCAGGAGAATGAAATGGAAGTTGTTAACGTTGTTGTTTTTTTATTATCAAAGTTTGTTTACATTATTTTGTCCCGATTCTTTTTTTTAACGTGTCATTATCTTTATTTTAAAAAAATCAAATTTAAAGCGATTACTCTTAGGGCGTGATAATCAATTACTCTAGTTCGTATTTATTTATTTTTTTTAATGACAACTTCATAAGTGAAAACGATATTAAACGGAAGGTGCATGTTCGAAAAAAAAATCAATGTAATATTTGTGGTATGTGATTTAAACAGTGTGTGGTGTGTGATCTATGATGTGGCAAATAACTTTACTTGTATGTGTGTATATGTGGTGTGCGATGTAAGTAACGTGATGCGATGTGTAATCTGTAACATTTCATGTGTGATGTGTTGTGTAGTGTGTGTAGTTTTAGCTTGATGATACATTACATCTTGTGTCAGATATTAAACAAGTAGTATAATGCTTTAGAGTCGATTCAGCTTTGATGGGTACCTGGCTTTTGTTAGGGAAAATGAAGCCGGCTGCGCATATAATGTACACGTTATCCCTTCATATGTCCCGTTCAAGGAAACAGGTGAACTCTACTTTATCTACAGTGTTTACTGCAAGGTACGAAAGAATAAATCTACTGTTCTAGCGAATGTAATTATTGTTATTCATAACATTATGTTGTGTAGTTAATACACCACAATCGATAATGAATGACTAAAATAACAACTAATTGCAGTAAATTTGCCGACCTAAATTTAAATATTTTGTAAAATAGATTAATCAAAATATTTCTTTTTTTTTAAATTCAGAGTTATATAATTTTTTATATATAGGAATACATTGCACAAGAGTGCAACTGATTTATTTTTAGCCTTCTGCGAGATATTCCCCGTGTTTGCGTGCTATATAAATTGTTTTTTATTCTTCTAATGAATAGTCTGACTATGGACAAGTGTTTGCTACACGTGATCCAAGCTAAACACGAAGACACCGGCTAACCACTTTGACAAATAGTAGGCCTCACCATCAGGGAAACCCCGAAGGACCCTAACGCAATCATAGCCAATCAGAGTCAAAGTTTGATACTCTCGTCCCCAGCTGGGCGGTGGAAAAAATCTTGGGCCCTACGTCAGGGCTTTTAATAGTATCTTGAAATAGGAAACTCTCTAACTCTATGTTGATGTAATGTGCTGGGATATAACATTATTGGGCGTCTAGGCTGGGGGGGGGGGGGGGGGGTTCATCTATACGCAAGGGAGCGGAGGATTTAAAATTTTCGATTTTAGTTTTAGTTTCATCATCTCGAATGAATATTGACAGAAATAAAATTTTAAAATATTGATTTTCTAAAAACAAACAATTACCACTGAAGTAATTTTGGCACACATTAACAAAAATCTATAGAATGATTTCCTTTAATTAGGCTATAGTGTCAGGCATACTTGTTGGGACTTTATTTTGAGTAATCTGCGTAATTAATAATTAATTATCGAATTGTTATCGGTATAATTAATAATAATATTATTTTATTAATTATCTTTATTATTTGTTTTAATATTACCAAAACAATTATACTAATTTCATCTCCTTTAATTCTAGCAGAAGATCTCACAATTCAAGTCTGACTTCTGGAACTTTCTCCTTCTTCTGGAACCATCGGATATTTTTTGTATCTACCCTGAGACCACTAGAGTCGTATTTAATTACTAACAAGTATTAGTGTAGTTGAGCTTTTGGAAACATGTGTAGTCAAACTTTACAACAAAAACTTCAACATTTCACAACTGGACATTTGTTGAAATACAACTCGTCATTGTCTAATCAAGGATGTTCATCTAACCAATACAGTGGTGGAAATATGCCAGGATTTTCATGAACATCCGAGATGTGAACACTTCCTGCATCATGTCGGATTTGTCAAGATTGTGTTTTTTGACTTGACCCACAGAGAAACAAAAACTTAAAATGTGAATCAAGACCAAACGCGTCCATTGTTTTCGTTTAATTTTCTGGAATTTGTGTATTTCAGTTAACGTTGGGAATCTAGAATCATCTTATTTTATATATTACGAAGTATGAGCTTATCCCCCAACAGTTGCTAGATCAAACAGATAATCACGTTTAATCCGCTAATCCCCGATAACGGTTCAAGCTACATTTACTTGTTGTATACAGTGATTTATCAACAACTTCTATAGACAAGTGAGCATTTCCTTTCTTTTGAAAAAAAAAGCCCTCGTTTTTACAGCATCCTTGTCCACACAGTTCACCAATAAGGGCTAATCATAATGTTGAACTTGACCCCTCATCACGTGACATCACTCCTAAGACGTTAGTGCAGCCGCCCCTGACGCCCGATGATGAATTACACCCTCCAGGCGTCTATCCCGGGATCTCTCAGCCTCGCTCTCGGCTACAACAGCAACCGCATCCAGCACCCCCACAGCTTCACCGTCGAGCTGGACCAGACCCTCGGCAACGTCAGCAACATCACCACCAGCCTCGAGCAGCGCTCCTGCCTCTCCACCATCCTGCTGACCATGGTGCTGGCGGTCATCGTGCTGCTTACCATCAGTGGTAACGTGCTGGTCATCGCGTCCGTGGTGCTCAACGCCAACTTGAGAACCACCACCAACTACTTCATCGCTAATCTCGCCATTGCTGATCTCCTCCTGGGGACGACGGTGCTTCCGTTTTCTGCCACGTTGGAAGTTTTACAGTACTGGGTGTTTGGCCAGATATTTTGTGACGTGTGGGCGGCCATTGATGTCCTGTGTTGTACGGCCTCCATCTTGAGCCTGTGCGTCATCAGCATTGACAGGTAAGTTTCGTGAACTCAGTACAGTAAAGATCATTGACAAGTATGTTTCTGTGAACTCAGTACAGTAAAGTTACCCGTGAGATTTTTTTTTAAAATTAAATTACCCTTTCAAGACAAAATCACAAAACAGTAAATGGATTTCATTGTGTTGTAGAGAACATGAAGGGGTTATCTGGCTAGTACAATACCCCGCTATTTTATTAAGGCATGTTCAGATTAGTGATTTTAAATCAATATTGGCTAGACGATTCATTCCATCTGCAGTGTTTGCGTTAGCAAGCATAGTCTGGATTAGTATGGCTGCTAAACTCGTAACATTATTGGTTGTATGATAATTTCTTTCTCTTGGAGCAATGCGCATGCTTGATTGTAAGCATTTGTGGATCGATATGTTAAATGTATTCAGCGGTCGTATAAAGGGATTTTTCTCTAACACATATTATTGAATGACTTGACTGTCTTCTTTGTAGCATTGTTTTTAATCCGAGGCACTAGCATTTTGGTATAAGTTTTGGGTAGGGATAATGATTTTACATAGGTATAAGATTAGCATTCGTATTAAATGAAGGGTGGTGTGTTTGTTTTTAGATAGATTTTAAGTTTTTCTTATGGTAAACGATTAGCTTAAGAGTCACGATTTTGTTTTAGTTTTGGGTTAGGTGGGAGGTTAGATTGAAGACTAGGATAAATAACTATTTTTTATAGACGATTCTATTAATGATAGCGGTCACTAAAGACGAGAACAGGTTTGTATGGTCAGACAGAATGCGCAAAATATACTCTTGTGTTAGCAAGTGGCTCTACACCGCTTCATATTTTTGAAGGCCACAATTTTCAGTATCTTTTTAGTATTTCTAGACCTCCTCAACATATTTCTTAACCCCCCCCCCCACCCATTCTTCCCTCCCACACACACGCACAGACACTACATATTTACTTAAAGTCTTGACACAAAATTAAAAGGTACCGCGTTACTCCCCCGCAATACCGCAGCAAAGGTTGTCGCAAAGATTAGCAGTGGTTCGACGAGTGAAAATTACTGAGAGTCAAGGACTAAAGTGCTCGCGGCGAGTCTCTATCACGGACGTTAATGTGCGAGATCTCGTTCTAAGTTTCCGTCAACACTTTCCATAGTACGGGATGGACTTTTGTGACATCGTCAAAATTGACTGGGGCAATTACATTGTGGGGACTGGGGACGAGATTCACATAGTTGGTTCCATTGTAGGCTAAAGCACTGATATATTAAACAGCGTTGAAAGTACATGGGTCTGAAGTCTGACATTGTGCTTTAAATAATCACAGTAGGCGATGGGCTGTAAACGAAAATTTAATTATGCCTAAATATTTAATGATCTGAAGAGATGGGACTTTGAAAATACTTGCTTAGAATTTAGTCGTCACCTCAAGTTAAAACAAAACAAATGTAAGAGTTTTAAAGGTTCGGAGTTGTTGACTGTATTTAGACGATTGATAGCTGTTGTAATCAGTAGCCTTACAAGGCTGGGGCAGTGAGGGGGGGGGATATGGTGCGGTTCACCATTTAGAGGGTGTCATCATATTGAAAAATCGTAAAATTTTCTGTCAAAACAATGTTTTCTCCAGCTAAAATAGAAAAATGGTAAAATAGTAGGGTGTAAAGGGTGACACCAAACCAAGAATGCTAAAGTGTGGGAGGAGAGTGGGGTGACACCCTTAGCTACCGTACCAGAAGACAGCCGACCTGGTGACGCCACTGCTTATAAGTTTTTAATTCTAAGCTGTTATCATTACATAGATTTAACATTTGAAAAGCGTAAATAAAATTGATCAGTGAGTTGTAGTATAAATTGAGCACTAAAACACAAATGTTTACAATGGCATTAAAACTGTTTTCATTCTAAATTTAGTTTTCAAAATCATGTGATCGAGCACAAAACTTTAAGCTGACATGACAGAAACCAAAACTGCTATTTTTGAATGGTTTGAACCATACATGATATTAGTTTGATGTCACGTGGGCGTGACGAAAATATCAGAACTGTGGTCACGTGATATCACGCCGGAAGTTTAATTACTCTGTCAGCCATCATCAAAAAACAATTACCTAACTAGAGTACATCCCCAGCCGCCGACCACTTCATTAAATTCATATTGGAAATCCATTCTTAATCCAACCATCTCGTCGTCGTGACTACGTGACCTTGACCGTAGCATATTATATACGATTTTTATTTTAAAAAATTTATATACTTCAAAATTACTACTTATAAGCAATTTTTAAAAAGTTGAGTCCACTTTATAGGTTAGACGATGCCAAATCTGCTAAAATCCAATGTCCATTATAATGAAAATTGAAATATTGCTTTTGAATCCTCTTTTGAAAAGCTCTAAAAGTCTACGTCATTGCCAGACTTGTTGCCTGGTGTTGTAGGAAATCGGCACTTGCTTGGTTTAAACTGGGCTTAACTTGATTCACACAGGCCTTGCTGTTTACATTGGGAAATATTTTTTTTCTAGGATTTGTTGTTGAATAACACGGTGTTTATTTAAATAGAGAAGTTGTTATTTATTAAGTTTAGATGTATTTTTACTCAGTGCAAAAGAAACTAGGGTAAGGAGATTAAAAAGTGCAGTTTCTTGTGTTAGTGTTTCAGCTGGTTATGGGTAGTTAGTGATCGTCCATCTTTTAAGAGAAATATAATTATTGGTCAGAAATATCAAGTCTACCAGAGTAAATATTGACATGCGTATCTATCTAAAGATGTGCTATTTAGCGATTTCAGATTTATAGAGATTCTAAATAGATGTACATTGCAGAAAGAGAAATTTTGATACGATTGTACAAGTTGTTGCCTAGTATAGAACTGCTCTCATCGATAACTTAGTATTTTGGCTTAATGACCAGCCACAGTACTCCCGTACACCGAAGCCAATGCTAGCCCCAACTCGTCATAAGCCGCTTAGTGAAAGAGTAGCAACATCCTACAATCCGGCTTAAGGGTTTATATTAGTCTCAAGAAAGTGCTTATCACGGCTTGTTGTTAAGACGACCCTGACTATTATTGCCGGGGTAGGATATTAATAACGATCTGAAGGAGGAATTTGACGGGAGATGTTTGCAAGATGAACGGATGATGTTTGAGCTTATGGTTTCTCTGTGCTAATTACCTTGATGAACCAGAGTTCGGTGCTCCTTAAAGCTACAGTGTAACGGTCTTACACCCAGACACGGAGCCTTAAGCAGTGAGATGTGAATGACTGTTGTAACGGTCACACAAGCCCACAAACCTGGTATAACGCTGTGATATATGAAGAGATATTGGAAGCATGCGTTGTTAAGATACAGCAATGTAGACATAAAGTGTTATTTCAATGCCAAAAATAGACACAGGTCCTAGAAAAGACATGAATGACTGTTATAACCGTTGTATACGCCCAGAAATGTAACCTAAAGCAGTGACATATCGATGACTGTTTTAACCGTCATACAAGTCCAGAACTTTGGCCTAAAACTAGGACATATAAAAAACCGTTGTAACCCTCATCCGATTCCAGAAACTTGGCGTTAAGCAGAGACTTATGAATGTCTGATGTATCGGTCGTATAAGCCCACAAACCCGGCATAACGCAGAGAGATATGGATGGAATTTCCAACGGTCACACAGACCCAGATTATTCCAAGGTCGCAGTGACCTCTACATCATAACGTTTTATTGGTCAATAGGGTACAAGTGACCTCTACATCATAACGTTTTATTGGTCACTAGGGTCACTTTCTACTTATATTATCTGGTCACATAGAAAATATAACAAGGTCCCGCCTTAAAGGTCAGGTCAGGTCAGGTCTAGCCACCTAGTTTCTTGGTCGACTAAAGTTAATCATCGACACCATGCAATGCACTTCAAACCTCACGAGGATTTATAAAATTGATTGAAACATCTGTGTACGTTGCTTAAAATAACGCCCCCAATAACATGTATAACTGAATTGTGACTCTGACTTCTATTACTGGAAGCTACATGTTAGTTTGAAGTTAATTATAATAGAATTCAAAACCATTGCTCATACAAGAGGGCCATGAGAGAGATTACTTTTGTAAAACAAAAACACTTCAAGAGCAATTAGCAATACGATTCATGTTATTGTGGTGTGGTATGGCTAATCAACTTGGACTTTATTTAAGACGTTTAGTTGGCGCTACTAAAATCAGTAAAAATATAATCCATAAATCTATAAATATAACTTTAGTATCAAAACTTTTGTATTCTCACTTTAACACAAGTATTATATCTATATCCCCTTCAAATTTATACATTTACCATTTGTATTATCTCCCCTGCACATGTAACACTAGTATTACCTCCCCTAAAATTTAAGACGAGCATTACCTCCTCTATAAATATACCATCTCTATTCTCTCCCCATAGATACATTGGCGTGACCAGACCCCTGCAACATGCACGCATCATCCGACACACGCGAGCCGTCTACATCATCATCTTCGTCTGGCTCCTCTCCATGGCCATCTCGGTGGCCCCCCTCATCGGCTGGAAGGAGGAATCAAACCCCGACCCCCGGGTCTGCACGGTGACCACCCAGCCCGGGTACGTCCTCTTCTCCGTGGCCGGGTCCTTCTACATCCCGTGCTTCATCATTCTCGGTGTGTACTTCCGGATTTACCGCGAAACGGTCAAGTACACCAAGTGCCTCATGTCCGGCGCTAAACTCGCCAAAGTGGACGAGGAGAACGTCGTGTCCTTGAGGATCCATACAGGTCGGTTAGTGTCCACGTCATCCCAGCAGGACCACTGTCACGTCGACGTGCCCGAGGAAGAGATGAGCGCCCTGGGGTACGGGAAACTGCCACGTCAGCTGGTGGACAAGGACAGCGGGAGGAAACGGAACAGCCGGCTAACCTTCTCCAACAAGGTGGCCAAGTTTAAACGCGAGAAGAAGGCGGCCAAGACGCTGGGGATCGTTGTTGGTGTCTTCATCACCTGTTGGCTGCCGTTCTTTGTCATTCTGCCTTTAGGTGAGTCGGTTGTTTAATCTCATTCTGCCGTGATCAGTTACACACACACATTCATATATATGAATATATGTATATATATTATCTATATAATCTAAATATACATATATATATATATATATATATATATATATATATATATATATATATATATATACGTAAAGTATTAAAATAAATAATTTAGAAGATCTTTAAAAGAATTCAAAACAGACATTTTGAAAAGTCAAGCTACATAATGTTTTTAAAAAGCTGTATTTTTAATTTTATTTTTTATTTATTTTTTTAAATCTTAACGAGCATTAAAACAATTATGTGTCTTTTCCTCGTCAATTCATCTGCAAGATCTCGGAATTCGTTGGCAAATTAAAATTATAATCTATTAGATCGACGAACGAGTAATTTTAACATTTAAAAAGGTTTAACATTATTATTTATTTTTTATTTTATTTTTAACACCACAATTTTTATTCAATCTGAATCCTTTCTCTTTCGGGTTACGTAGTAACGTCTATATGTTTATTTTTAAGTTAACGAAGTACAAATGTCCCGCTTTGTTTTTAACTCAAATTTTAACCTCAAAGTCTAGACAACGACCTGTGTGGATTTTTGTTGCCCAGGAATACTAAAAATGTGCTAAATTTAGCATTAGTCCCGAGAAGGGTCCACCATTCTATGGGCTGTCATCTCTCCAAAAAATTATTTCGCCAAATTGTGTTAGCAGCAAAAAGCTCTCCCGCTTTATAAACTGATTAGACCCTGGCATCTCTCTACACGTGCGGCTAATCACATCTTCCACGCAACTGGTCCCTCCCTAACCCTAGGTGTTCCCTAATTTAATCTTTCAGTCATTCAGGTATCGAGAAAATTTGTATCACTAATGTAACAATAGTTATTATAAACTCATTATTACGACTTTCAAGACACTGTAATTTATATATTTTTCATAAATGTAATTTATGAATTGACATGTCGAGATTTTAAAACAGTGAAAAGGGGTCGGCGTGGTCGAGTCGGTAAACCGAAAAGAGACAATTCCAAAACCAAACAACTGCTGCCTTGTAGTTTGTTCTTGGTTGGACAAAAGCTATGGAAGCTAATCCAAAAAGAAAAGCAGGCTGAAAGCGGAGTCAATGGCCTCAATGGCGCATAACCAGTTGACATGTATCCTTAATTGCGATGGGGGCGTGGTCGAGTCGGCAAAAGCTCATGGTTGATAAATTCGAAAAAAAACCCTCGAGTTCAAACCCTCTGGCAGATAAGGTTCGATCCCTTCCAACACTAAAAATGAAGAACGAAGAAGAAGAAGAAAACAGTGAAAGAGAATATGTTACATAGAGAAATATGTCATAAAATCTTCATTAAAATGATTTACAAACAACGCCTAGAACGTAAACAAAAAACTGACAGACAAAATACTACTTAATAGAGATATTCTATCTAAAGCGTCGTCAATACATTTTTAAACAACAAACTATTTAGTTGTACTGGCGCCCTTTTAAATCTCCACTTTCTCTCTCCCCCCCCCCCCCCTCAGCCGGTTTATACAAAATAGTGTTAAGAGGCCGTCAAAAATTAATTAAATTATCGAATAAAAGTGGAAAAACAGCTGTTTGTTTTCTAGAGTTTAATGGCAATATTTTCCAGTTAAGTGCTTTCTAATTTTCTTGGTTGTTTTTTTTCTAATACATGAGGTTTGTTTACGGGGGCTGGAGTTCTTTACTTAAGTCTTAGTTATCTGTGTACTCTGTCTCGCTCTGTCTTTCTCTCTCTCTCTCTCTCTCTCTCTCTCTCTCTCTCTGTCTCTATCTCTATCTCTCTTTATGTGTTAGTGTGGGAATGGTTGTGTGTACATGTGTGTGTGCGTGTGTGTGCGTGTGTGCGTGTGTGTGCGTGTGTGCGTGCTTGCGCGTGTGTATGTGTGTGTGTGCGCGTGTCTAATGCTCGATCAACTTCCTGTAATTGTCCATTGATCTTTCTTTCCATCAAATTTAAAATGTGCATATCAATATGTCTATTTCCTGTCTAACATAACATTCATTTCTCTCTCTGTCTATCCACACGTGCTTCTATCACCCAGTCTACCCGTGCAACATATTAAACAAATTGTTTTTGAAGTTCTAGACTCCACACATAGACTTTAAAAATTCTTGATGACCTTAACACATTCCCTAAAGATTTCTAACTTTAATTGAAGCAGACTTTGAATGAGGCTGAGAACGTTGAATGAACAAATGTTCAGACATGAACTTTCAGATGCACATATGACACGCAGCTGGTCGTTTCTATAAATTTTTTTTAAAATCAGAATACTAATTTTTTTTTTAAATTTCAGATTTTCGTACATTTCTTGCATTCGTTGAGTGCATTTGTTAAACTAGACGTGGTTCAATGTTCTAATCTAAACAAACAACAGATTTTCAGTCAAATCCAAAATCATAAAGTTTATTTGCACAGACCATAAATGGAATAATATTCTATATTCGAAAACACAATCCTGAGCCCATTTATTTAATGAGCACCTTGTAAAACAGACTTTTCCCAGTCTTATCCTAAAACAAACAAATCTAAAACAAGTTTAAATTATTCTTCATACTTTGTTTCTTAAAAATCAAAATATAAACAAATCTAATACAAGTTTAAATAAATTCTTCCTACTTTGTTTAATTAAAAACCAAATATAAACAAATTTAAAACAAGTTTAAACCATTCTTTCTATTTTGTTTCTTTAAAATTCATTCAGTCGAAAAATGATTACCTATATTTGAGCCTTAGAATAAAAAAACTAGTTCTAAAATTACCTTATACTATAAACAGCAAACAAATCTAATATACGCTCACAAGTAACTTTTTTTCAAAATAATTGAGGGGACTCGGTACTTAGGAAGTCTTCTAGAGTTCTAGGAATTACTCTAAGACCAACAATGTGGTAATCTGAATTGACTCAATTAGTCCACAACAATCAGATCATATGTGTGGTTTTACAAACAAAAGACAAGGTCAAAAGTTGTGCCAAAATATCTGCTAGGATTTCCTTAAACGATTACAATGTCCTATGGATATTTTCTAGTTCTGATTTCTCCTGAAGTAGGTGACAAGGTCAGATTGTACCAACACAACAGACCTAATACCTCTTGTATGTATAGATATACATCATATGTTTGTATTCGTCAGACAGTATTATTACAATCCCTATCACGTGTTCTGACAATATTATAATAATGTAACTCTCCCAAACTCCAGAACGCGACGAAAAAAATAGTTTACGAACACAAGACAAAAGAGAATCGACGTCACGAAATAGCAATGAGATTTAAGTACACAAAAGTTCTGTAAGACTTTAGTACACTAAAGCCACAGTAACACTTCAGTACACCAAAGCCAGAGTAAGACTTTAGTACACTAAAGCCACAGTAAGACCTAAGTAAAGACACAAAAGCCACAGTAAGACTTTGGTACACTAAAGTCACAGTCAGGCTTCAGTACACTAAAGCCACAGTAAGACTTTAATACACTAAAGCCACATTAAGACTTTAGTACACTAAAGCCACAGTAAGACTTTAGTACACTAAAGCCACATTAAGACTTCTGTACACTAAAGCCACAGTAAGACTTTTGTACACTAAAGCTACTGTGTGACTTAGCCGCACTTTAAAACCAGTTCAAGGACACCATCTTGTAAACAATAAACAAATAGAAAAAAAGAAAATAAAGCTCATTAACTCTAAAACCAATTAGCTCATCTACAAAAACCTTCGATTACCACAATTATCTCTCCTACATTACACCGCCGATGTTGCTTGCTATTACCCCAACCATTTTAACAAGCTTCAAATGGACACCTCGTTTATTTTTATACCTCCTCTACCCCTCCGTCTCTCCTGAATACATTAACAATCCCATCAACCTCTGACCACGATAACGAGGCTGGCGCTCAAGGTCACGCGCCCTTCTGTCTTTAGCCTAGTTCTCCTGCTGTCTGGAGGCTGGGCTATGTAGCAGACGGGTCTCCGCGCGGGAAATTTTATGTCAGCCTGAGTTAAACTCACGAGAACGTTCGATCATCCGTCTCCGGAGGTTTCGTTCCTGGGGAATCATCATATAGTGCACATTTTGTGGGTCGGATACATCCTATAGTACAAATCACATTATACATCCTATAGTACAAATCACATTATACATCCTATAGTACACATTTTATTTTACACTATATAGTGCACATTTTGTAAGACAAATACAGGCTATAGTGCACATTTTTTCGGTCAAATACATCCTATAGTACACATTTCATAATACATCATATGGTACACATTTCATAATACATCCTATATTGCGCATTTTGTAAGTCAAATACACGCTATGGTACACATTTCGTTCCTTTTAATTCCATCCTGTAGTACACATTTCATTGTCCTATTACATCCTATAGTACACATTTCATTATAAATCGTATAGTACAAATTTTGTAAGTCAAATACACCCTATAGTACACAGTTCGTTGATCTCTCTTTTATTTTAGATGAAATTATCTGTGTCGATATATTTGTGGTACCGTGTCATGGGTTTCCATTACCTATACCACTCCTTATGGCAGTCACCTTTACTAGCAGTAGTTTAATACAGTAATTAATTATAATAATTGACCGTTATAAGAGATCATAATTAGGGATAATAATAAAGGATTGCCCTTTTCAGCAAAAGTTGATGTGTGATGTGTTCCTTAAAATAAAAATCTCAATTATTATTTTTTTGCACAATTTCAATACTTTCTCTATACTTCGTATATACGAGAAAGTAAAAAGTTACTCCCAGAAAAAAATATTGCAGTCTCTCAGGAACCACCGTCTTGTACAAAGACGTCACTGCCCGATAGCAAAAAGGAAGTAATTAAAACCAACACGGCATAAACCCAAACCCCTCCCCAACCCCCTGCCGATACATCAAAGCTAAACCAGAAGGAAGATGGCCACTAATAAAAACAACAACATCTCTAAAAGGGAGATCTACGCGAATAACTTGGCTTGCTGGTGATTTATCAGCCAGTCCTCCAGTTAAAAGTGCGCTGATGTGTTCTGTAGGAGGCGCAGACAACACAACAAGAACAAAGACATCAATCAGGCAGTGTTGGTCCTTACTTCATTCACCAAAGATGAAACAATGATAGCTTTGTTTACGCGGAGATAGCTGATACATGTTATTGTGGGCGTTACTGCTTTAAGATTGGGATTGCTTTCTCTTCCTGGTTGATATTTTATGTGTTTTTGTATCAGTTTAGTGCAGTTAAACTTGATAGGAAAGATAGGAAATCAAACTATTTTTTGTGTGGCCGAATACAATGATAGAAGTCAGTAGCTGGGGAGCCTTTCAAATCCTACAACGCAATTAAATATGTTCGGAGTACTGTATGCAGTATTAAACATTACTGAAGATAAGTTTAAAAACAATACTTCGGAGTTATAAAAATAACATTCGTCCACATTCTTACGCAAAACAGCAGCAAAATAACGAAATGCAAGTCGTAACAAAATATTTTAACACCTTTTTTATTGAGTTTATGCAGACAAAACGACAGGTAGTAAAACAAAACTACGACCTATACAAGAAAATCTGGTTCTAGGTTTGTAAGTAATAAATAATTCACAATGGAACAATACACTTTTGAGATGAGCTTGTATTCTGTGTAAGGGAAAGGTGTCTGATTTCTCGGGATAAATAGAAATCTTGTGGCTGTAGACAAGTCAATTATGCCAGACACCCCAGCCATTGTTTGACAGAAATGAGGACGATATTTCCTCCCATTTCCCGCGCTGCGTCGGACCAACTCAATTTTCCACATCAGCATTTCCCGTTACGGGTTCTGGCACCAAGACAAACGGCTGGCCCAGTTCTGAAGAAATGTGCTCCTTTCATGTTCTTTTAGAAATGACCAATTGTTTTAGTCACGTGATGTGTTTTGTGGTAACGGATTGGTCGGGTGTTCCGGGGAGGAAATTGAACGTAATCTACAAGTCACACTAGGGAGCAGTCACTTGTGAGAGAGTTGAACCTAAATTTGCATGCTTCACTTCTACTGTGTGTCGCAGAGACAAAAAATATCTTTTTTTTATGCACATCATTTACTACCAAAAAAATTTAAATTAAAAAAAAAAAAACAAAAGAAGAATGTTAGATGTTACATAAAACAATTTTTAAATTAAAACAAATTTTTACAAGTTAAAGATGATCCGGTGAGTTTACTGAAGCGATGAGTCAAAAGGGGGGATAATCAATGAGTGACTGTGAACTTTAAACCTTCAAGAAAATCGAATGAACTAACTGTATAAACGGGCAGGGAGTTACAAAAACTGACCGCCGTGACGCATTGATTTTACCCACGTTAATGACTGATCAAGTCCGACAATCTTCTTATCCCTGTTTCATTTTTCACTCTCAAGTGCTTCTTGAACCGGCTCGGGAGGAGGGGGGGGGGATTGGGTGGAAGAGTAAATTAAATTTAGAGTTACGTCCCTGTTTGTGAAATTCCTTTTAGAATACAATAAAATCTGGTTGTTCGAATATTTTATCTGCTGTTTACATAGACGTAGACACGATAATAAAACATTGCGCGTATTGTGTTTTAACTGGAAACTGAATGGATGTATTTCACTATTTATTCCTTTTGGGAAGTTGCCAAGTTTTTCTTCAGTTTGAATCATGATCATGAAAAAAAAAAAGAAAAAAAAAGAAAAAAAAAAAAGAAAAAAAAAAAAAAAAAAAAAAAAAAAAATGAATCATGATAGTAACAGGCTCTTTAGCGGGTTTTGAAAGAACCGAAGGCAGAAGAAGAATAAAAACAAAAAAAACTTGCTTGTAAACCGAATAAAAGTATTTGTCTAATCATTATGGAGACGGAACTTACTTCCTTTTCTTTGAGAGAAGATACAAAGAAATACCTAGCAGAGCACAAAATACCTCAGCTCTTTGAGTCACTTCTGAGCTCTTTAATGATGGAACGCCCTGAGAATCCAGTAGAATACATAGAGAATAAGATGTGCCAAATTCGTGATATTGGGCCAGAGAATATCAACTGGGAGACCTTGATATCACACCTTCATCCATACAGAGATAACATACGCCGTCAACTCATCAGAGATGGGAGCATCTTTGACAAGGAGTACTCTGAGATACTTGGCGAGATGGAGGACTTTGAACAGAGAAAGAAGGATTGCTTTGAATTTATTGCTCAAGAAAGATACAAACCAGAATTATTTTCACTTACTGAGGCCAATTCTTGGCGGTGGTTGTGGACAGGAGAAGCATTTCTTGCTCTTCAAAGGCAAAGTGTTTAAGAACTGAGATTATTTGTTTCCTTTCATTTTTTCAGGTAATAATTCTAATTTTATATTTACTTCTAAAAACAATTTCTAAGTTTTGCTATGTTTAGAACATTTAAGGAATTTAGAAGCAAAAAGAAGAAAAAAAAATGATTCAGAGCCAAATATTTTGCAGAAATCAAGTTTCCCTTAATCACAAAAATATTTAAGGTTGGTTATAGTTTGCTTAAATATCTGCTGAATAAAATGTATTTTTTTCAATTTGGTTTATGTTTATAGCACCAAACTTAACATAGCTACAAATGTGTTTTAAGAGAATTTAAAAAAAAAAGCAATTTCTTTTCAGTTATTGAAATTGTAAAAAGCTTACATTTTAAATTGAAATGATATTTAATCATTAAATGTAAAAAATAAGATTCTTTATATACCATAACATTACATAAAGTGCAATAAGCAAGTCTTAATGTCATAAAACAACTTCATAAAAACCCATTATTTGAAAATTTTTAATAAGAAAGTGTTGTTTAAAAAATAAATTCATTCAGAAAATTTAAAAATGTTACTTTTGATCAAATATTTTATGAAAATAATGTTTGTGTGTGTGTGCGTGTGCTAAGATACAGATTGTTCTTTCATAGAACAGATATTTTGCTCATTCTCATGCATCTGTGCACTGTCTAAATAGATGTATCATTTTCATCAGAATTGTACATTTGATATTTAGATACAATACATCTAAAAATATGAATGTAAATTTATTTATTTTTTCAAGATACCATACAGTATTTGATGTCATTGTATTGATAATTTTATGTTCTACTTGAATCCATTAAACATTAAAAATGTTTAGTTAATAATCACTCTTTTTTAAGTTTGGGGACTGTAATTTTTTTTTCATTAAGCTCAATTTCGGAAATAAATCGGCCTACACCAGTTAAAATGTAGGTCTGATGCCTTCCATCTTGCCCCAGAAATTGATAATCTGAACAACCATTTTAAAATAATGTGGATTGCATTTATATCATTTGTATTCACATTGTTTTTCCCCAAACATGTAAGTACCTTATTTACAATATTAAAAAGAATTTTCAAAGCCACACAAAAAAAAATGAATCATCGACAATTTTCTGTTTGCTTAATATTTCCACACAAAAAAAAAATAGTTTGAATCTGCAACGTTATAACAGACATATTGAAACATGGATTTTCATAACAGACTAATAGCACCCAAAAAAAGTATGCAACGTTTGACGTTTTGTATTATACTTAAGTAAACCATCTCAAATGAATGAAAGTTCGTGTCAGAAAGAAGTATTACTACTGTAAATCTGCACCAGTCCTCACAAGACGATGACATATAAACTGTAATTCTAAAGCGAACATGACAAAGATAACTAACATATACGAAGTTGTTTTTTATCAAGAGCCCCTCGCCCCCCCCCCCCCCCCCCCATCTCCGCCACCCCCAGTGCTTCTTCCAGACATTTTTCTCCGGGAGGACGGGGGACGGCACTTTCCGGAGGGGGGGGGGGACGACGACAACATTTTCCGGGGGGCGGACACTGGTAAAAGTATGTCCCCCCACCTTCCCGCCCCGCAGAGATGCCTGAAAGAAACTCTGCTTCTTTCTCCCCCCCCCCCCCCCCGTGACATGATGACTCCGCTGTAGCAGCATTCAATGACTGCGTGACGCAACTAACCAAAATATTTATATACATTTTAAAATAGTGTACCATCAAAAAACTTAGTCTGTGTTCCTCACTAGCAATAGGTTTTAAGTCTAGCTATACATATACGCTCAACCTTTGCTCGATTTCCTATACACACAACTATAGTATAACTCGTGTGAGTTACAACGATTTTTTATGCAGCTACATCCGGCACTCGAACAAAGGTTATGTTGTTTTTTTTCTGACGACTCTGATGGATAATCATCCGGCAAGGCCGCCTTCACATCCATAAACAGAAACCCATCGGCAAATCTAATCCACGAGAAACTGGTTTCATCAGATCTAGTGTATGCCGGCAGAGGTTCTTTACAAGTTCATCTGACCTTTGACCCCCAGCCGTGTTGTCAACATCACGTGGTTGCATGTCTCACCACTGAAAAAGCTCGTCTCAGCTTGTTAAAAGCAGGCGTCAACAAGAACATTAAAAATTAGGAATCGGAATTTCGATGGATTAAATTCTTACAGTTTAATTCTTACGGAAAAATATCATTACGCCCTAGATTCTCAACAAAAAAGGAAATTGCTTTAAAAGAAGAAATTACAAATAACATTTGGATCCGGGGTTAAAAAAACATACAGATGTTAAAAACATGTTTTAGGCTGTTAAAACTATGTGTTAAAAACAAACTAATGTCTAAATATGAGTGATTAACTAAAGTGTGATTAGCTCAATTACATGCACGGGCTAAAGTACACGTGGGATAGTTTGAATAATTACAGTTGTTTGATAAAAAAATGTAGAGTATGGACATTTCTTTCTTCGCCAAATCATCAGACACACTTATCTCATTATATTCTATCAAGCTCATCACAACAACACCCACCCTAATACATCCATTGTCCTCGCTACAATACAACAACACCCACCCTAATACATCCATTGTCCTCGCTACCGCCTCAAATTTCAATAGCATTACAAGTTCTTCTTCCCTCTGAAATAAACCCTTTCAATCATGAGTTCAACGTCGTTGTTTTTCCTCCAACATAATGGAGTACTGCGTGTCAACTTGTTATGCTTCCTGTATATTTTGTTGACGGACTTAGCCTGCTTGTCGTTCTGGATATCCGTACATATAGCCTTTGTTTACATTAGAGTATCAGCTGTTTACTTGCCAATTTGCGCTTCCGACCCAGGGTAACGAGCATTATAGGCCCGGGGGTCAGGGAACCGAAGTCGAGACTTTCGGGCTAAATATCGCTGCTAATAATTATTGTTTTATAAAGATTGTCCGCTTTAGAAGTTTTCAATTTAAATAAACCGGGAGTGATCTCCCCTAAACTTTCTCGAATATTCTTATATAACTTGGAATGTAGACATGATTTTTAATTACTTAAACTTTTAAAAATAGAATAGAATCACATAGAAAAAACATTGCGCACCAAACAAACGCCGAAACAAAATATGCATAATAGTGCGCAATATTATTAGTACTTTAAAAATTTACATTAGTTTTTTGAGAAATCGGAAGTAGCGTACATTACTACTTCCGGTCAACGGAAATTACTCAAAATTTAACAGTAGGTAGAGAATCAGATCTTTTACTTACATGTGAAATTTCATTTATCTATCTGAAATAGTACTCAAGTTATAGGCTTTTGAAAAATTCAAAGTAGAAAAAGTACCACTTCCGGTTGTCGGAAATCGCTCAAAAGTTGATACGGATCTACGATTTTGATATAATACTTATATATGAAATTTCATCAACCTAGCTGTAACGGTACTCAAGTTATCGTGTTTACACACAGACACTCAGACACACACACACACACACACACACACACACAGACATACGGACAAGATTGCAAAATTATGTTTTTCCGTATCAGTGAGGTGTAAAACGTCGAGATTTGTAAAAATCTCGATTTTTTTTTTTTTTGCACGATTACAAGACTTTCTCTATACTACGTATATACGAGAAAGTAAAAATGTCTTTTTGTTTCTCGTTTTCAAGTAAGTCTATGGGGTTCGCCATAATAGACATTTTAGATAAAGATGAAATACGTAATAAAATATTAAATAATATGGTATTATTGCTAACAAAATAAATGTAACGTTCTTTTAAAAAAAGTTTGCTAGTAAAATTGTGTTTTTCTAAAAAAAGAAACTACTTTTTGCTTTAGGTTTGTTATGTTTTCTAACATTAGTAAGTGTTTGCCATCTGGGTGAGCATTACTTGACCAAGTTGCACGAAAATTTAAAAGGGAAGTAACACCGGAACGGGGACTAAAATATTTCGAACCAATTTCATCGTCTGCTTGGTCTAGCTTTTGTCTCATAGTGAGCTTTGGGCTTACAGGCTCAGCGCGCAAGTTTTTAGATTACATTTTCTCGATATTATAAAAATTATTCTTTAATATTAAAGACTTATACAATACACACATACACACATATATACATACATACATATATATATATATATATATATATATATATATATATATATATATATATATCCAGGTAAGAAACGAACCGAGTATTTATGATAACGTTATATTATGTATGTGTGTGGAAAAAATTAATTTTTTAAATTTTTTTAATATTTAGACGTTTTGTATTAGATCTATGTATAAGAAAACCATCTTAAATGAATGAAAGCAGGCTACAAGTAAGAAAGAAATATTACTTTTGTAAATCTGCGTCAGTCCTCACAAGCCGGTGATGGAAACTGTAATACTAAAGCGAACACACACAACTGACGCTGTAAATTACATACCTGAGGCAAAAAAAAAAGTGAAAAAAATAGTTTTAACGACTAGGTTGATAACCGTAATGCTTTTAATAGACTGGTCTCTACTTGCCAAAAGTTCTGTAAGTAGGCCCAATGTGACAAAACTAAATTCAAACAACTATGTTAATAAACAAGCCTATATTGACAGAGTCAGAACTTGCACGAAGTTCCGAGCATGTGTACGTTAGAAGGAAAGATTTTTTTTCTCTTGACCTCTGCATATTTGAATTTAATGCTCCGACCCCACACTGCAGCCAATCAAATAGCTCTACGTCATCTCTACAGACATCCCGTCCTGCACCATCAATCAATGCACGGAGAACTCTCCCGTCGTGAAAGACAGAAATATTGACCAGGTATTTGCGTTACCCATGATGCATTGCTTCAGAAGAACAAGCGGAAAATTGCATCAACAGCTCATCAAGAAAATTGCACCGACACACGCAGAAGATGGGAATTTAAAAACGTAACCAATTAGCCGGTTATGATTTGTTTCCGTGTGGCGAACGAAGACTGAAAGTTAGCCACCGTCACTTAACCGAAAAGATTTCATTATTTTCAGTTCACTAAAGTGCTACAAGATGGAAATAAAAACATAGTGAACTAGACTCTGATACTTAATACTGAGGTCAGGAAAGCGCCGAGTCATGTCTATATAAAAAGCTCAGGAACGAATCCTCTTTTATCTGCCACATGTCCGATGCACACATCTACATTAAACATCTAGATCGTCTGCAATTTTAAAGGTTCTTAAAAAAAATATAAACGTCTCGAATTTATTCGTTTAATCAATACTTTCTTGACGACCTCAAACCACTCGATCAAAGTTTCCTCAAATACATGCTTCATAAATTACTTATCATAAGGCTTGAAAAACAAATCAGAAAAAAAAATATTTAAAAGTTATATAAAGTTGTATACGTTATAAAATGTACAATTTAGTTATCAGAACGCTATTAAAATCCTTGACATTGCATTCATACGTTTTGTAGATTATGTAAATGTACCTTACCCTACTTTCACATAACTTTAAAACGAAAAATATCTGACATAACGAAAAACAGTTGAAACAACGCTTACGTTCATTTTGTTACCATAGCAATGGAAGCCACAGTATTTAATGAATCGAAAAACGCAATTAACGCTCTTAGTTTAGTTACACTGGCTGATTCTCAGTGTACTTAGGTCATAATTAATTTGTTACGTGACGCAATTTAAAATGTTGCTACCTAATTCGTTTCTTTGTGCTAACATGCTGTATGTTTTTAATTTACTTCATATCGTTAACAAGTCATATTTGCTTCTCAACTTATTTCATAGTGTAGGCACGTCATGTTGTTTAATCTATTCGTGCAAACGAGTCAAATATACTGCTAATCCATGATTTAATTTTAAGACTATACTTACAAACGGTCAATATGTTTTCGTGCAATCACGTGATGTTTGCAAAAGACGTGCCCACTGCGCATGCCCCAGTCTAGAGATGAGCCCAGACGTTAACTGCGAGATAATTATGGGATAGTTAGCGGGCAAGCTCGGAGACTTAAGACTAAGACGCTGGCTATGTGAGGGTTAAGCTTTTAATGTGTCTCGATTTGGCTTTGATGACGTCACGCCATTTGATCCGCATCGAACTGCTAGGTCAGGTCGGCAATAAGACAGTCTGTGTCTTAGTAATAAGTCAGTCTGTGTCTCATGTCGTAAATAAGACAGTATGTGTCTCATGTCGGCAATAAGACAGTCTGTGTCTCATGGCAATAAGACAGTCTGTGTCTTAGTAATAAGTCAGTCTGTGTCTCATGTCGTAAATAAGACAGTATGTGTCTCATGTCGGCAATAAGACAGTCTGTGTCTCATGGCAATAAGACAGTCTGTGTCTTAGTAATAAGTCAGTCTGTGTCTCATGTCGTAAATAAGACAGTATGTGTCTCATGTCGGCAATAAGACAGTCTGTGTCTCATGCCAATAAGACAGTCTGTGTCTTAGTAATAAGTCAGTCTGTGTCTCATGTCGTAAATAAGACAGTATGTGTCTCATGTCGGCAATAAGACAGTCTGTGTCTCATGCCAATAAGACAGTCTGTGTCTTAGTAATAAGTCAGTCTGTGTCTCATGACGTAAATAAGACAGTATGTGTCTCATGTCGGCAATAAGACAGTCTGTGTCTCATGCCAATAAGACAGTCTGTGTCTTAGTAATAAGTCAGTCTGTGTCTCATGTCGTAAATAAGACAGTATGTGTCTCATGTCGGCAATAAGACAGTCTGTGTCTTAGTAATAAGTCAGTCTGTGTCTCATGTCGTAAATAAGACAGTATGAGTCTCATGTCGGCAATAAGACAGTCTGTGTCTCATGCCAATAAGACAGTCTGTGTCTTAGTAATAAGACAGTGTGTGTCTCAGGCCGGCAATAAGACAGTATGTGTCTCAGGTCAGAAATAAGACAGTCTGTGTCTCATGTCGTAAATAAGACAGTATGTGTCTCATGTCGGCAATAAGACAGTATGTGTCAAGATAGCAATTACAGATTGTAAGGCAGTATATGGCTCAAGACACTTGTATGGCTTGTGTGTGGTCTCCAGCAGTAACTTTGAGAAAACACCGAAATTATTTGATTACATTCGACTTTCATCATAAAACACATCTAATATTGTACTGGATGTATTTGATGTACACACTATTCCAGAGGCGTAGCGAGGGCGGGGGGGGGGGGGGGGGGGCGGGGGAACATATGTCCCCGGGCGCCGACCTTAGGGGCGCCAAAATGGGTTGTAAAAACAAATTAAAATCTCATTTTAGCTGCAGTTTTGCATTATAAATATAAAAAATATATTGGGGGGGGGGTGCATATTGAAAGTTTGAGGTGGTGCAAATTGAAAGTTTTAAGGGGGGTGCAAATTGAAAAGTTGTTCCCGGGGGGGGCAAATTTAAAGTTTGTGTTGTTTTGTTTTTCTTGACAACGCACTTATTCCAGACTGGGGTCACCCTGACCTCTCTCGTGCAGACATCTTTAAATTTAAATTAACTCCTCACCTTTGATTTCAGCGCGACATTTTAAACGATACGCTTGAAAAAATGTTCTCAGACGCGCACAATGCGTTACGAATTAAAAGCCAGGTTTTGTCCCACTTCACACCGCACCGTCAACAAACACCCACGGCGGTCGCAAACGTGAAAGGCCCGCGGTGGGCCCGCTAATACCTAGTCATTAAACCTCGGTTATCGTTTCTTTATGCGTCGATTCTAGCTTGTGGCTAAATCTTAAGTCTGGAGTGGAGGAACCTAGCCAGAGAGATGGAATACGGCCATGTTATATGTGGCGTACGGCATTCTGGGTGAAATTAATTAGCTGGGGTCAACGACTTCAACGATTGGTTGAATGCCGTCACGTGATGCAGATAATAGATTTTTAAAAAGGGAATGTATTGACCCTCGCAACCGGAAATGCGAGGGATTGGAGTGCTGGGTTATGGCCCGTGCTGGCTGGCGAATGTGGTGGATCACGTGATTAGCTCACGGTAGAGCTGTGTCACGCGCCGACCCTTAAGCCGCCATTGGTGTTATTGAACCGCCACTTATGAACTAAGCCGTCATTTATGTTCCCTCTGACTAAACCACCATTTGTGTTCCCTATAACTAAACCACCACTGATGTTTCTCAAAGGTAGCTGAGGTCGATTTCCCCTACCCCACCATCCCCCTACCATCCCCCCCACCATCCCGTGTATTATAAAAGTTAACGGATACCTGTTAGAGATTGTTTTTTTCTGCTTTCCGCTTAAGTGGCTTGGCGTTCAACAATGAAACGTGCCTTTTATTATGCCGTTCCATACAGCTCTCAAATTTACAGGATCACACGTCTGTCTTATCACTTTACTTGATCAATATGCGGATTTAAATTCACGTTATTTGATTGGATACATTTGAGTCCCATTAGTTTACGTTCATTAACTTGTGATTTGTTGGACGCTTTTGTTGATGGGTATGGTTATTTTGCAGGCAGTTATGTTTGGTAATTTATTGATGATGTTGCTGTTTTTTGTTGTTGTTTTTTATTATTATTTTTTTTTGCCTTTGCTGTAATGGTGTTGTTGCTATTGTTGCTTTCGTCAACGTTATTGTTGTTGCTGTCGTCGCCATTGTTATTGTTGCAATTATCAATTAATAGAAAAACAAAAAATGGTATCAAATAAGCAGAACTATACACATTAGAAAATTAATAGATCGTAGCGTATGTCGATTTCAAATCGTAGGTAGGTAAAATAGGGGGGGGGGGGGGTAATAACACAGACTTTTCAGACAGAAATAAAATTCAGCAGAAGTCTGCGTGACTCCTATGTCTTTTTCACAATTTTAACGTCCAATTTATCATTTTTATCTGTCAATGTGTTGGGGAGGAGGGAAAGGCAGAAGCATTATGTTGCCTTTTTTTATATCTATCAATCTAATAGAATCGTATCATCAGTTACCATAATATGCCAAGCGTGTACCAGAAAATATACAGCAAAAGGTTTTTTGCTTACTTAAACCTATTCATACACTAATCAAGTCTTTGTGAACCTTTACTATAGTTCTTGTCCAGTTTGTTTTAGTAAGATTTTCTAAAAGATATCTATATATATAATTCTCTTCTGGGAGCCGCTAGAAAGCAAGCTGCAAACGCGCTCCCTACCTCCCCACCCCTACATGGTTTTAGTGAGCTGTGTTCACTCTAAATGTTGACAAGCAGAGCCAACGATTTTAAACGTAGGGGGGGAAGGAAGGGGGGGGGGGTTATGGTCCTTAACGAGCTACTTATAGTGTTTTAAAGAAATATTTACAGTGGCAGCGTTGGTACTGTCGAATTCACAAATTATGAATTACTGAAAAGTAGAAAAAACAACAACTAAATAGCGGCGTATGTTATGCCGCGGGCCGGCTCGTTCTATTAAATCCTCTATGATATTTTCTATGAGATCTTCTGTGAGATTTACTGTTAGATTTTCTATGAGATTTTCTATAAGATTTTCTATGATATTTTCTATAAGATTTTCTATGATATTTTCTATGAGATTTTCTATGAGATTTTCTATTAGATTTTCTATGACAATTTCTATGAGATTTCACCAACTGTTTCTTGTTTCTTCCCCAGACTCCCTGTGCCCCACCTGCTCCGTCCCGCCCCTCCTGTTCAAGCTGTTCTTCTGGCTGGGCTACTGCAACTCCACCATGAACCCTATCATCTACACCCTCTCCAGCAACGAGTTCCGGCGCGCCTTCCTGGCCATCCTCTGCTGCCGGAAGTGCCGGTCCCGGCCCCGGGTGTCCCTGACGGAGCTTCAGCTCCGAGCTAAATCCAGCTGCAGACAGCGACGCGTGGCGCACAGACAGCATTACAAACAGCCCGGCAAGCAGCAGGATATCGACACGGCGTCGGTGATGACCCACACGGGGGACATCAGTCTGGAATCTTCCGTCAAATCAAACGGAAGTCGTCACCAGCTGTCGCAAGGCAGCTCCTGCTCCAACTGTCACAACAAATGTCACTACCAGATCGCGGTGACGACTTTCAGACACGACATGACATTCAGGCACGACGTGTCCGTGGTGACGTCTACCGATGACGTCATCCGTCAGCCGTGCGGTAGAACTGACCCCCGGGCGATGATGGTCTGCCAGGATACGAACTACGACACGGGTCAGACCCTGGTCCCGTCTTCAGAGAGTTCTATTACGTTATCCTCGCCGACAGACTCACCAGAACGGTGCCTTCCAGCCTGCAGCCACCAGATCTACCTGACCAAGGCACCAAACGGACTCTGTGTGGACACCGCTCAAGGTTACCTTAACAGTGACAAGGTCACGCGGCTCTCGTGTTATTCATTGGCTGAGACAGTTTCGTGCAGCGATTGATCCACTTCCGGGTTTTCTTAGAGACAGGTCCGTTCTCATCTACATACATTACCCGAGAATATGTGTCTTTTTGTTGACAACACATATGGGCGCGTCAGCTACGTTGTTATGGTCATATCGAAATGCGTTTTATGGGATTATATTTACGGAGAGTTGAAGGCAACATATCAGTTGAGAATATGCCCACTGTTTTTTTTCAAGAACGAGATCATGCATCTCATAGTCGAAGTTGCCTTTGCAGATTGACAATTGATGGTCTATCTATACTGTTGGATAATCCAAGGTTTATACTGTTGGATAATCTGTTGGATAATCCAAGGTTTATACTGTTGGATAATCTGTTGGATAATCCAAGGTTTATACTGTTGGATAATCTGTTGGATAATCCAAGGTTTATACTGTTGGATAATCTGTTGGATAATCCAAGGTTTATACTGTTGGATAATCTGTTGGATAATCCAAGGTTTATACTGTTGGATAATCTGTTGGATAATCCAAGGTTTATACTGTTGGATAATCTGTTGGATAATCCAAGGTTTATACTGTTGGATAATCTGTTGGATAATCCAAGGTTTATACTGTTGGATAATCCAAGGTTTATACTGTTGGATAATCTGTTGGATAATCCAAGGTTTATACTGTTGGATAATCTGTTGGATAATCCAAGGTTTATACTGTTGGATAATCTGTTGGATAATCCAAGGTTTATACTGTTGGATAATCTGTTGGATAATCCAAGGTTTATACTGTTGGATAATCTGTTGGATAATCCAAGGCTTATTCTGATGTGCAGTCAATGGTCTGCACTACTGGACAAAGTATGCTCTATACTGATGAACAGTCAATGGCCCTACGTTAAAATCGATGCTCAATACACATTAAACGTCAAATTAAAAATAATCCACATACCTAGAATAAGTAATATTGTTCTGTATTAATGTACACATTAATCCACATTATAAAAGATTTCTGTACAGTGGTTTTAACAATCAAACTGTTATTTGCATAAAACGACATTAAATACCAACAACAACGTTAAGTAATGTGTTACAAACTAAAAGTACTCAAGTACCCGATAGCTATACCCTCACACTACATCAGTACCCCAGAACTATTAATCTTGCTTATTAAACTAATTGTACTACTAGTACCAATAAGCCATCTCTAGACTTAGATAGTACTAATGTACTTTAAATCAATGTCTCTGTACATTCACAAAAATATTGGACATCAAACGATTATAAGCAACATTCCACTGTTATGTACATCAGAGTTTATGCTTCACCTCTAAATATGTTTCATATACTATGTGATTTTTTAAATTCCAGAACATGCTTCGTAACCATGCTATTTTTAGAACTTACCTCATCTGTTCTATTTTTACATAATGAAATGTATATCACCACTGCCATCCAAATGAGTGACTGTTCATATCCTTGTTGCTTCTATATACATAACATTATACATATTACATATTACATTGTACACGGTATATCGCACACATTACAACGGCGTCACTATTACACTGTAAACATTACAACCCCGTTCAACAAGGTCTTAAATAAATAAATAATCTACAACAAATCTTTACTCAAAAGTGTTGTTTTGTTTTTTTTTCACTGCATTAGTGTTGCATGACATAAGGTTGATAAAACTTTACTAATGGTAAGAATATTCCATCTAACTTGAACAGATCTTTAAATAAATTATAATTTTACACTCGGGGGTTCGATACGTCCTGTGGGTATGTGTCCAGTGGGGGGTTCGTTACGTCCTGTGGGTATGTGTCCATGGGGTTTAATACGTCCTGTTGGTATTTGTCCAGTTGGGAGTCGATACGTACTGTAGGCGATCGGAAACCGCCGGTAGCAAAAATGTACTCTTCCAGAAAAAAGATCAAACCAGATGCACCGTGTATTCCAACCACGAGCAGCGAGGGGCCATCCTTTAATCAATGCCAGCGACCTGGGGTAGTTCGAGCTTTAGAAAAGTCGGAGGGTACTCAAACAGTTCTTAACCGTGACAGTGGTAGATAACAGGAGACTCTAGGACGTGCCGGGTGGTCGTTTGCTTCTTAAAACGTTAGGGGGAAAACGAAAACGGTATGGGGTTGTTGTTGTTGTTTTTTTTCGTTGAATACTTCTTGCGAGAAGTTGTTTTTTTTTCTGTTTTTACAAATAACAATCAATAAATAAATAAGTTTAGATGAATTACTCCAAAAACAAAATTGCACACTAAATGACTCGGCCGCATATGTAAGGTTTCGTATACGTTGTGGCAAAACAATTATTAGATGAGCAGCTCAAAGATTATTAAAGTGTGTGCTCTTACTATTTGGTTTTACTTCTACGTTTTAAGGTACCGTTCATCTGATTTTGTAACCTCATCATATGAAGGTATTGTGTGGTCAGCACTATACCCAGCCGCCATTACTCCAACGTACGCCATGCAGGTGAACTTTACTTCCCTTGCCCTATAGACCGTAAGGTTTGATATGGAACTTTACTTTGCTGTAAGATGCTGGATTTAATTGGAAACGTAAAAGTTCTAAACTTTGATTGTTGAATGTTATATTACATTAACTTGTGAGAATTATTTAAATTAAAAAATACACAAGCACAAAATGATGATTTTTGTTAATTTTTGCTACCTGTGACAAGTTACTTCAATGCTACAACCATCATACAGCGGAGTTTGGAATGCTAACGTGTTATTTCAGTGTTGTTAGTTGTTAAATATATATATATATATATATATATATATATATATATATATATATATATATATATATATATATATAGGCCTACTCTAACAAAACTGAAATATGTTTGTGGTATTTGTTATATTTATTATATATAGCTTTAAAAGATATATAACTTCTTCCATTTTATTTTACCTAGCTTAAAATTGTATATAATAGTTCGGGTCCGATAAAAATGAAAAATTCGTTCTAAAAAATTAAAGGGAAGTAATAAAGTACGCTAGCCACAAGGGAAATCACTCTAACACCGGACGTAATTGGAAGAACTTTAATCCTGCCGTCTTACAAAAAAAAATCGCTGAAACTATAGATGTGAGAAATTATTTGAAAGATTGAAGTTATTGTTGCCTTGACTTTGTGCCGTAAAATGTGTGACATCTCCAGAGTGTAGGCTGATTTACAACAAGGTCAGCCCGGTACACAGTTCAATTTACGGGAAAATAAAGGGGGATAATACTTTTGACTTTAATAATGATAGTAATAATAATAATAAATAATAACAAGCCGACCCGCGGCGTATTGTATTTAGTTTTATTTTCTACTTTTCAGTAATTCATAATTTGTGAATTCGACAGTACCATTGCTGTCACTGAAAATATTTGCTTTAAAACACTAAAACCCTCCCCCCCCCCCCCCCGGTGAAAGCAGCATCCTCTTAGTTACCTCCCCTAAGTTTAAAATAGTTTCAAACAAAATGATCTGCCCCTCATAGGCGTCACTAAACCCGGCTCTACGATTGTAAACATTTAGCGTGAACCAAGCTCACCAGACCATGTGGGGGTGGGGGTAGTTGCGATATGCCTAGAGAGGAAGAGAAGGGACTCCTAGGCGCGCTTACAGCTTGGTGTATTCTAACGTCTCCAAGAAGAGAATTATATATATAGATAATAGGTAAAGTGGCTGTTTGTAAACAGATGAATGAGAATGTTTGTGTGTAAGTTCTATAACATTCGAGTAAAGCAATGACTGGATCCACGGGTCCGGGAAGTTTGTCCACACTTGAGTATTCATGGCAGGAGATGGATTGTCTGCTGGTGTTTGGCTGGATCGTTGATCAAGCGTGAAGACTGATGTCTGATGTCAGTTAAAAACTACTTGGGGGAGGGGGGCTGGGAGGGGTGGAAGTACTCGGAACGGAAAATTTATGTCATATATAGTTGTGTGAGTGTTTTGTATCTGTATGTGTCTGTGTTTGTTTAGAGAGAGAGAGAGATAAAGAGAGCAGAGAAGAAGACAAACAAACGTGAATGAAGTATCATGTTGAAAGAAATCCCTCTGTATTTAAATCTTTTGTTCACACACACCCAACCACGCCTTCCACCCTCGTCGACAGCAACATCTGCTACAGGATTTAACAACGGACGACAGTTAAAATATTTTTTCTATATAAATTATGGGTTTGCTTTTTTTTTACGAGGCCGGGGGGTAGGGAGGGGGTAGACGTGCTTCGGGGACTGACCCCTCCCCTCCTTCCCTTAAGAGATGTCTGAAGACAGAAAAAGCTCTGGTCACCCGGTGCGTTTCTCAACAGCCGTACACCGAGTCACTGGCCACAACATATGTTGTAAATAGATAACTAACAAGATCACAACGGGTCACTGAACAAGTGGATAGCTTTCTTTCAGCCAACGGTGTAAACAAAATGTCCGTCTATGTTGCAAGCAATATGGTGTGTGTGTCATTTCCTGCTTGGGTGAGAGTGCGTGAATACTTGTATGGCTTGTCAAATTTTAACATATTTTACAACTAAATTAATTAATCTAACAGGGGAAATAACAAAATTGTATTAAAGAAACGCGAATTACCAAAGTTTTCTCCCTTTCAATTTAAGTTTAGTTTTTTTTTTTTTTTTTACTTTAAATATTTTTATTTTTATTTTTTATATTTTTTATAAACATTTTATAATCTAATTCTCTCTAGGGTTAAAAATGAGATTAACATTATGTAATTAAAATAGATTAAATGATGATTATGTAACTATTGTCCGTTTATTCAAGATTTTAAAAACTTTTTTTTCAGTTATTTCCCCTTGTATGGAGACTTGCTAAAAAAAAATCTCCCAGAATTCCATCAAACCATTTTGTTTCAAACTTCACCCGTCAAGATGACAATGCAGAGCGACATGAAGTTTAACATATTTAGGTGTTAAGTTAGTTTTTTTTATTTTATTTAATGAAAGTTAATTTAGGTGTTAATTTAGTGGGTTTTTTTAATTTTAATTAAAGTTAATTTAGGTGTTAATTTAGTTTTTTATTTAATTAAAGTTAATTTAGATGTTAATTTAGTTGGGTTTTTTTAATTTAATTTAAGTTAATATAAAGGACATTATGGAGGACATTAATTAGATACAAAAAGATTGCTTGGTTTTATGTATTTAGAAGTACAACTCTAAAGCCTGATTTTGTAGTGGTGTGTTAAATACGTGTATTAATGGCTGCGTATGAAGTACTGTGTATAAAGTGATACAGATGAAGAGCAATGTTTGAAACACTACATAGGATGCACTATGTGGAATAAACTTTGTGAATTACTTGTTTTTAGTGCTTGTGTGAATTACTTTTTAAAGTACTGGTGTAAAGTACTGTGTTTTAAGTAGTACCTGCAAAAATTGTGTGAAGTATTATGAGGTACTATGTGTATAGTACTATGTATAAAGAAATGTGTCTGAAGTACTTGCACGAAGTACTATGATTTAGATACTGAGTGAAGTACCATATGTGTTGTACTGTTTGAAAAGTACCATGTGTGTAGTAATGTGTGGGAAGTAATGTACGTGAAATACAGTGTGTGAAGTACTTGTACGAAATAGTATGATTGATATACTGGGTAAAGTACCATGTGTATAGTATTATTTGTAAAATAATGTGTGTGAAATACAGAGTACGAAGTGCTGAGTACGAAGTACTATGATAAAAGCACTGTGTCACTTTCTGCATACATCACGGCTGGGAAGACAAAGGTTGTAATGTTACGTCACGAAGGAGTTCACACTTAACTTGACACACTTCTGTTTGTTGACATTTGTCCAACTTGACCTTTTAGGCCCTGACCTTAGTGAACCCAGGCGGGGTGAACGTGGCTAGGGTTGGACATCGGTAAACGGAAAAAAAGTCACAGGAAAAAAAAACACAGAAAAAAAGTCACAGTTTTTGCTAGGAAAAAAAGTCACAGAAAAAAAGTCACAGTGGAAAAATTTTATCGGAAAAAAAGTCACAGAAATAAAGTCACAGAAAAAAAGTCACAAAACTCTTTTTAGAAATATTTTTATTAATTTGTTAAGAATTGTAAAATTTAGTATGTTTATTGTTGTGGGTTGTATTTTTTTATATCATAAATTATTTATAGACGTTAAAAGCATTATGATTTATAACAATTGTAAGTAAAAATACTCTAAGATAATTAACACACTAATCTCAACTTTTGTTACGTATTTAGTTAAATACGCGGTAGAAAAGCTAATTACAAAAGAAATTTAGGCACATTTTGCCGTAGGCAATTCTCTGGTTGGCCTCTCATCAGTAGGCATTGTCCGAACATATTTTGTGTTGTTGACGTTATGCGTCAATGAAGCCTTTGAACCTTGTCGGCTTTCTGTTTTGATCCCAAGTTTTGGTATGTAATGAGCGTGATAAATGTGGGCAGTAAAGGTGGTTGAACTAAACATAACTATTGTTGCCATGAGTTGAGGGCAGCAAGTCATATGAACCTACCATTTCACGGTACTTTAATATTGGTATTTAAAAAAAAAACACGATGAAAAACGTGGACTTAGGAGCATTCTTATAAATGCTACTAATCTTAAATTTAAAATAATTACAATCTACATACTTCATAATAAATATTTTTAGACGAATTATAAAAATTCATATGCCTATACAGCCTACACACATTACATTACATTTAATTAATCCTAAGTTAATTTACACTCTCTAAATATTTAATAAATAAAAGTATTAACAAATATCATGCAAAAATATATTTGTGACTTTTTTTCCTGTGACTTTTTTTCCTGTGACTTTTTTTCCTGTGACTTTTTTTCTGTGTTTTTTTTTCCTGTGTTTTTTTTTTCCTGTGACTTTTTTTCCTACAATCTGGACATCACGGGTTGGTGGCCAGTTTGTCAACCATCTATCCCAAGATAACCATAGGGTTGGACCTCAATTAATATAGCAATAGGACTATAGTTATCCACTTCAGAAGCTTTTACTGATATCACCAGCTCAGAAAGTCTGTCATTAGCCAGTCAGGCTTCAACAAGGCAAACTCCGACTAACTGGGTTGGATATCGGTTTGATTACCGTGTATCTGTCTCTTCTGTCCTTTTGTTCCCACCAGGTTTCTCTCCCACCTTATTGAACACAAGGGAAAATTGTACCCCACCATCCAGTACCCGGCTCAACCGTAAGAAGCTAATAACTTTTTAAAAATCCCACATCATTTAGGTCAAATTAATGATTGCTGACAGATAGGGAAATGCATTTAGAATTAAATAGCATTCATCATTTAACGATATTCGAAAAAGTCGGCACTTTGAAAGTGGCAAGCATGGAATTGTTGCAACGGTGCTGTCCACAGCACGGCTGTGGGGCGGGGCCTGGTGCCCAAGCGGCTGTCAGCTGTCCGTATACTTTCTACCTCACCTATCCTCATTGTTCTCTGATGAGTGTTTTTATCCGGTTTAAAGTTGAGTTTCTTTACAGTATAATACTTGTTGCGAGTTTTGAAAATGAAATAATATAACTATTAATATTTGTGCAAGGAGCTGGAGAGCCGCATCTTGGCATCAAAAGAGCCGCAGGTTGCCGACCCCTGGCCCAACCAACACTTTCTGATAACCACTTCTGCCTCCACCACATTTTTGTTGGACGACACGCACAACTTGAGCGACCCCCGACACACATTGACCAGACCTGATGTCTGTCGGCTAATCCCCTCACCACCAAGTCACCGCAAGACAACACTCGGGGCAGACAAAATGTCTGTCACCTAGTATGTCTACAGTCTGGTATGGCGTTTAATTAAGCGGTTAGGTAAATGCCTAGTCCGGCTAATGAGTTGAATTCTGCCCTCGCTGAGTAAAGTTGATTGACATTCTATTCACGAAGAATGACGTCATTACACAGGACAGATTCAAAAAGCTCCACATAAAAAAAAATTAAAAATAAACATTTCGTATATTATTTATTTATTTTTTAAGTGTGTAGGCGACAAATAAAATGTTCGCCGTGTATTATTTTAACAAACCTTGACAATGTACGACGCATGCGGGTAAAGTGTTTACATATTTGACAGGTGTAAAACTAGCGTCCATTCCAGAAAGTTCATAGCCCAGGCCGTACTAACCTACTCGCGTGTCGAGTAGGTAACTATGTCCACTTAACATACCTCGTTCCCCTCAGAGTTGCGCTTCTTGCCCGCGCGACAATTTCATCTCATTTTTTCTTTGTTTTCCAAAGTACATTTTTTCTTTGTTTCTGGTTCCTAATTGTGTTGTTGAAAACTGTCTGCTCGTGTGCCTACGTCACTGAGACAACAGTCGAGTACCAGGTTCGAACCTCGCCGGGTATATAAGTGACGACCACAACACGAGCTGTATCAGAACCGACTCCGTCAGTCTGTGAGCCGGTGACCATGAAGCCTCTAGTTGTTCTGTGTGCTCTCGGCCTATGTAAGTCTGTGTTCATCTGTTGATTGGTTTCTTATTGTATTCATGCCGAGTTATAGCTTATGATAAATAGTGTTAGTTTTTATTTGGCTAATTATTTTTGATGTCCAATATTTAACACACTTCAGCTATAATATGCAAAATGCTATTTGATTCTTTTTTTAAATATGTAGCTATACGTGTTTTAAAATTCTTATGAATTGTGATCTTTAACTTTAATTAGCTGGGTATTTTAAAGCGCTGACAATGTTTTTAACACAACGTAATTCATAAAGTTATTGTGCTAGCTGGAAGTTCAGGCGTTGACCGAACTATTACACAACTGTGTGAGAAGATTTGTTTCTTCTGCACAATTTTAATAAGGTCTAAATTACGTTATCATTTTTTGAATATTGATAAATGATCATTCTTTTTAATTATGGAGTTAAATATTTTAATGTCTTTCTATATTTAAGTGATATAAGCACATCGATAATATTTCGTATTGTCTGTTTATTTAAGTACCATAAGCCTCCATCTTGGGTGTGTTTGATGTTCAACAGCTTTTATTTACGTGCTCATCATTCACGTGCACATCATTGACCACAATGTTTAACTCACGCACTTTCTTGACCACAATGTTTAACTCACGCACATTCTTGACCACAATGTTTAACTCACGCACATTCTTGACCACAATGTTTAACTCACGCACTTGTTGTTTTCAGATTTCCTGTCGGGAAATGGCATGGAGTTACCTCGGGAAAAACGCGGCGTCCCCGACACGAACAGCTCACCCGGTCGCCACGGCGGGGACAACACCTGGGTCAAAGGTCAGTTCAAGGCCGACGACAACAACGACGACGCGAGTTCTGAGGAAGACAACAACGACAACGGTCCTGAAAACAGAAGCGGGCGTCACCCCGGGCGTGGGGGTAGCACTGGCTACCTAGGAGGGGCGAGGCTTGGCCCCAAGCCGCCAGAGAGAGATCCCCCCAGCAAAGGACAAGGGGGCAGCCGGGGTGGGTATGACGAGCAGCCGTATAAAGGTAGCAGTGGCTACAACACTGGATATTCGAATAAAGGTAGCACTGATTACACTAATGAGGAGAATGGAAACTACGGCAGCACGTATAGAGGATGGAGCAGCGACAACAATGGCCAAGCTAACGAGCAGCTGAACAAAGGTAGCAGTGGCTACAGTGCTGGACAGTATGGTAGCAAAGATAAAGGTCAGAGTAACTATGACCAAAACAACAAAGGTAGCGGTAGCTATGGTGCTTGGCAAGACAGCAACGACGATGACTCTTACAAAGGTAGCAGTGGTTACAATAAGGGACAAGACAGCAGTGATTCAAACAAAAGGCAATCTTACAAAGGTAGCAGTGATCAAGACTGGGGTAATACTTACACGAACACCGGTAGCACTGGCTACACTGGCGGTCAAGATGCTACCTATGGCTACCCCAACAAAGGTAGCGGCGGCTACAATCTGGGACAGACGAAAGAAGGAACTTACGGCTACTCTAACAAAGGCAGCACCAGCTATGGTAGTGGTCAAGATGGAAGCTATGGTTCTTATAACAAAGGTAGCAGTGGCTACAACCAAGGTAGCACTAGCTACGGCCAAGACCAGCCCTACGTCTATTCTTTCAATGGTAACAAAGGTGATGTCGCTCCTACCAGGTGCGGCGGTGCCTCCAACCCTTGCAGAACAACTGGCACCAAAGGCAGCGACAGCTACAGTGGCTACAAGGGCAGTCAAGTCTGGGACGACTCGCCCTTTGCCAACTCCGGCAAAGGACAAACGGATACCGGCATCTTCCACAAGCAGCTGAGGAAGGGAGATGATCAAGACGACGATGGGGACAAAGGTCGTCAAGGTCACGGCCGTCATCGACGTAGTTCCGGGTCATATTCCGGAGCCAGCAAAGGTTGGGGAGGTGTTGACACCAGTATATACTACGACGATTCAAACGATCTGGCAGATTATGATGTTGTGTACGTTACCAACGGTCAAGGTGGGAACAGGAATTACGGGGGTGGGTCTGTAGGAACCGGTGGGGGGTACGGAAATTATGGAGTGAACAGGGGTTGGGGTGGTGGATCCGGGGGGTCTGGAGTAGTGAGAAGTGGGGGGAGTGGGACCAGTTTTGGGAATGTTGGGGTGAGTCGGGGATGGGGTAGTGGTGGGGGTTATAGTGGGTCGGGGGTGGTTAGAAGCGGTGGAGGCGGAACTAGTTTTGGGAACGCTGGTGTGAATAGAGGTTGGGGTGGGGGCTCCGGTGGAGGAAATTACGGTGGGTCTGGTATGACCAGGGGAGGTGGTGGAATGGGCGGTGGAAACTACGGTGGATCAGGAATGAACAGAGGTGGTGGAGGTGGTGGAATGGGTGGTGGAAACTACGGTGGATCAGGAATGAACAGGGGTGGTGGAGGTGGTGGAATGGGAGGTGGCAACTACGGTGGATATGGAATGAACAGGGGTGGTGGAGGTGGTGGAATGTCAATGGGTGGGGGTAACTACGGTGGATCTGGGACTAGCAGGGGTGGAGGAGGTAGCTACGTTTCTTCTGGTATGGGCGTGGGAAACGGCAACAGATACACAGCCGTTGCAAGCTAAGTTAGACGTAGATCACGTGAACAAATAGATCGATTTGATTGGTTAGCGACATATAAGAAGCCGCCATATTAACTGGTCTAAATGGCTTGTAGTTAGAGTATTACATATATTTTTGTCAGACTTACTAGCGATGTTAAAATAAAATTATAATTGTTTTAAATGAAAAGATGTTTTTGGTTGAATTATTTTGTGCGTTGTAACGATTCTACTTTTCTTGATCTGGATCTTGTAATAAAAGAGAGATATTGGAGATATGTGGTCTCTATAACTATGTTTATAATTGAATGGAAAGGGGATATTACATTCAAGGGAAATAACCTTTTGAATTGTTCATGAGGTTGTCTGTCTCATGTTACTTCCCCTTAAATTACACAAAACTGGATCATCAACATTTAAATTTCTATAATTTAGAATTCATTAAAAAATTATATATAAGTATATAAAAAGTAAAGTAGAAGTAAAGTTCCTTTTTCGAACCTTACGGCCCATGGGGGCAAGTGAAGTAGAGTCCATCTGTTTATGTTGCCTTGGCACATGAAGGGATAGTGTGGTCAGCACTCTGCCCAGTCGCATTTACTTTCCTTAACGTGAATTACGTACCCTCCAGAGCTGGGTAGACTCAGGGAAAATCTACTGACTTGAACGCGGATTCGAACTCAAGACTTTCGGGTCAGCAGTCTAGCGTTTATTGCTAGACCACGCCGTATATAAAGTAAAAAAAAAATTTATTGACGTGAAGGACTAGGTTGTACTACAACACTTATTTATGTCTTCTAATTAATTTTTTTAAAAATTTAAACGCGTTAATAAAATCGCATCAACGAAATCGTCGACGTTCTTTGAAGTGAGATTTACTTAGTAACGTAGGTGATTAACTACTAGCATCAGTAGAAAGAAAATACACAACTTATGTGTCCCCTGTCAACTTATCTGGCAATTCGACTAGCAAGGTTTTAACATAATTAAATATCTATTGCCAAATAAGTCAGCGAACTACACGAAAACAGTCTACTTGCTCGTCTTAAATGAAGCTACAAAAAAAACAAGTCTCATTAAAATATTAGTAGTGTTTTTAGTGTCTAACTAAACTGCAGGTTTTTAGTGAGACAACACAAAAACACGAAGGCCAAAAATTTTAAAGTTGTTTGTTGTTGAAAAAATTGCCAAGTCATCAGTGAAGTTCAAGTTACACAAAAAACAAAGTTCCTAATTTGCTAATTTTTTGGTTGTGTGAACTTTGAACAAGGTACGTTTGGCCTTCAGAAGAATTTTCTGTAGTGTAGCGCTCTGTCATATGGATAGACACGTGATTCCACGCGTGAAAGTAAACATGTATTCATGCATAAACACTTTTACACACACATATATACATACATAAAGACACAGATGCACAGATGCAAACACATGTATGTAAATACATACATAACACACAGTACAAACATATATGTATACATAAACGTTCACTTACACACACTTAAATGCATACATAACACACAGCTACCACAAATACACATACATTGAAGTTCAGTTACACACATATATACATGCATATACGTTCAGTAAGCCGTATATCTACACACATATAAACATACATGTATATACATACATGTATATAACATACAGCTACACACATGTTTATACAAATATAAACATGAATGTCTTAGAGCCATAGCCGGGTTTAGCAGTTGACTTGGCGAGTAATGTTAAATATTGTTAAAATTTTAATCTCTTGAGAAAGAAGTAAAGCTATCGACCACTGCCTGCAATCGACAACATTTCATCCACAGACTAGTATCTATAGATTAGCTTTTACTTGTCTTCCTACAGAGGTGAGTTCTACATTGTGCTCCCTGTAGACAGTGTTTCTTCCAGACTTTTTTCTCCGGGGGGGCGGGAGCCTATTTTTTGGGGGGATGGTAGACTTTCTTCGGGGGGGCGGACACTGTTAAAAGTATATATTTTCTATATAAATTATATAAATTTCATTTTGTTCGGGGAGGCGGTAAAAAAATTTCGGGGGGGCTTTGCCCCCCCGAAGAGATGCCTGGAAGAAACTCTGCCTGTAGATGACTTCCATTCCACGGTACTTCTCTGATAGCTTCACACGCCATCAATGGAAGACTTCAAACTCTACCCCCCTTCACCACCTTGCTTTTGACATACATTTTTAAGCACTTCAATAACAAGCCAAAAGTGCTAGTAATGTTACAGAGTATTCCTTAAAACTCTCTTAAACATAATACTTTATTTGAGGTTGCTAGAACAGTAACGGCAACATATTTAGGTACAAATGTGCATATTCTCTGGGTCGTAAGTTATGCCCCCGTTGCCCTCATGTTTTGTTACTAAACCAAGAAAACAGACAAGATAATGATAGTTCCAGGAAACACAGACTTTACTAATTTGTTATTGTTTCACCTTTTGCGTCCTCTGTTGTTTATGTCATCCAACAAAATATGGGACTAGTCCACTACGCCAAACTTGCCCAAACTCTGCCACCACTTACTACCCATGCCCTCATACTGATCCCACCCTTGCCCTCCCCTGATCCACTCTTCATCCAACCCCTGACCATACTCCTGTCCTCCCCCGCGACCCACCTCTACCCAACCGGACCCTTCGTTTCTCCCCTAATCCAGCAATCACTGTAGCATGACCACAAATAAATCTACAGCTTGTTGTTCCTCCCTAACAAATCTAATGACCCCCCTCCCCCATTTGATCCCACGAGAAAATTAAAATCTCCCCCGCCATGTTTACGAGTGCTGGAGTTAGCCCCCATCTCGATTATTCCATCACTTATTTTTTTGGTGATATAACTCACAAAAACCAAAACACTGACCAAAATTACTCTGAGACCTTAGCTGTCACGAAATTGTGCTGAAGTTCTCGTTTACGGTCGTGTCAAACTCGCAAGGTGTCTTTTAATTTGTTTCGCCGAGGTTATACCACAAGCTGGTTCTTCAGAACTTTAACGTTACATCATTGGCAGGAGTTATCGTTACTTCTCTTCTCCAGCATGGTACGTAGGACATTAAAATAGCCAATAGTTCTTAATACCTAGACATTTATAGCAATGGCTTTCCTCGTTATATATGTGTGTATAAGTATGTCAATTTAATTTCCAGTGATAGGTTCCTTGTGGTCAATGGTAAAACTGGGGTTGGCATTGCTACCCAATTGCGTTTGCTTTTAATCTATCAATCTCCGTATATATATATATATATATATATATATATATATATATATATATATATATATATATATAATCTGTAAAGGACCGTGACTTTTGTATTTATTGAGCAGCGTATACCTGACATTTCCCGAGTTTAGGAAATATATTATTTTTCCAATTAAATGTTTATATGCAAATTCTATCAATCTCCGTATATATATATATATATATATATATATATATATAATCTGTAAAGGACCGTGACTTTTGTGTTTATTGAGCAGCGTATACCTGACATTTCCCGAGTTTAGGAAATATATTATTTTTCCAATTAAATGTTTATATGCAAATTCTAAACTTAACCCTAACCACAAGCAACCACAAAGCTAAAACACAAAAACAAACACAAACGCAAACACAAACACAAACTCAAACACAAACGCAATAAAATGTATACATTTTTTTCTAGGAATATAAGTGAAAATATTGTTTGGCATTAATAAGTTTAATATGTTTTAGTAATGTGCGTGTATTTAATATTTTTAATACGGTCTTTTGTTGACGTATGTAAAAGAGTAAAAACTTTGCCAACAGTTTTTAAAAATTCAGTCGTAACATAAATAGACCCTTCTAAATACCTTAAAATAAGACAATACGATGCAAGTAACAAAAATAAGTGGTGTATACGTTTATGGTTCTAGAATGGATGCCTGAATCTAATCTTGTTCAATCACTAATATAAACACCGATGCCAAAAGAACAGCCACACTGGTTTAACTTTCTCTATTGGCCACTAAGAAATGTAACGTTTTATAGCTTTAATTTAGTATATTCCTATTACTGTTACATTCAACAGTAGGTTTATACCTAAAGAACAGTGACTGTAAAAATGCTCAACAGAAGACTGCGCACAAATGAGAGTGCAAGGATATTTTAGTTTTCTTAAATCGAGCATTTATAGACATTAACAAAGAACTACTACATAATAAACACTTTTCGACAAAATATGACAAAATTAAATTAGTATAATTAATGTGTATATGCGCATGTTTTGTATGCGCAGTTTTCCGTTTGCGCCAAACAGCCGCGCTGTTTGAGAAAGTGTATATTTTATTTCTTTTTATTTTCTATCTTCCTATTTTTTTTATTTTACATTTTGCAGTACCCCAAACACTCCGATAAACAATTTTTTGTATGGAATAAGCTCGAAATCCCCAAAAAAATGGTAAAGAAATAGACTTAATGAAATACATATTTTTGTCATTGTAGAAATGAACTAAAATGAAAACACATTTTAAACGTATCAATGCTAGCACGGTCGTGTTATAGATAATGACCTCGAACGTGATGGAACTGGCACTGAATGATTAGTTATCTGGAGAGTGACTTGTGAAATTATATGGCTTTTTTTTTTAAATTATATTTTCACACTTGAATGTAATGCAGATCGACCTTAAAAGCAACAATCCCACCCCCACTCCTAGTAAAAAATTTAATGTCTCCGGTTTGGAACTTTGTTTATACTTTAAGTCCAGTTTAAGTTTAATGACTTAGTTTCAGTTATTGTTAATTTTGGATATGATTAAAGGTTGAGGTTTTAGTTTAAAATTAGGATAAATTGTATCGGAAAAAAAAGGCATTTCAAAATCTCCGTGAATTATTTTCTTTTTGTGGGGACGATCTACCTCACCCACCTGTGTTTACTTAGGTTAATTATTAATTACGTTTATTGATGATATCGTATTAACAAAATATAACTAATTAAAACATCAGAAAAAAAACGTATAAACAAACTCTGCGATCTGTGACAGTATAAAACATGAATGGGAACCGTACCACAAATAAAAACTTATAAAAAATGTTCTCAAACACATATTTCAATTGTGTTTGCTGAGGTTTTTTTTTTGTTGTTTGTTTAGTCAAAGTTAGTTATCTAAGGTATATATCTTTAGCCCCGGCAGGTAGATATCTTTAGTCCCGGCAGGTAGATATCTTTAGCCTATGCAGGTAGATATCTTTAGCCGATGCAGGTAGATATCTTTAGCCCAGGCAGGTAGATATCTATAGCCCCGGCAGGTAGATATCTTTATCCCAGGCAGGTAGATATCTTTAGCCCCGGCAGGCAAATATCTTTAGCCCCGGCCGGTAGATATCTTTAGCCCATGCAGGTAGATATCTTTAGCCCCGGCAGGCAAATATCTTTAGCCCCGGCCGGTAGATATCTTTAGCCCATGCAGGTAGATATCTTTAGCCCCGGCCGGTAGATATCTTTAGCCGATGCAGGTAGATATCTTTAGCCCCGGCAGGCAAATATCTTTAGCCCAGGCAGGTAGATATCTTTAGCCCATGCAGGTAGATATCTTTAGCCCCGCAGGCAGAAAGCTTTAGTCCCTTTAGGTAGATATCTTTAGCCCCTTTAGGTAGATATCTTTAGCCCCGGCAGGTAGATATCTTTATCCCATGCAGGTAGATATCTTTAGCCCCGGCAGGCAAATATCTTTAGCCCAGGCAGGTAGATATCTTTAGCCCATGCAGGTAGATATCTTTAGCCCCTTTAGGTAGATATCTTTAGCCCCGGCAGGTAGATATCTTTAGCCCATGCAGGTAGATATCTTTAGCCCCGGCAGGCAGATATGTTTAGCCCATGCAGGTAGATATCTTTAGCCCATGCAGGTAGATATCTTTAGCCCATGCAGGTAGATATCTTTAGCCCATGCAGGTAGATACTTTTAGCCCATGCAGGTAGATATCTTTAGCCCATGAAGGTAGATATCTTTAGCCCCGGCAGGTAGATATCTTTAGCCCCGGCAGGTAGATATCTTTAGCCCCGGCAGGTAAATATCTTTAGCCCCGTCAGGTAGATATCTTTAGCCCCGGCAGGTAGATACCTTTAGCCCATGCAGGTAGATATCTTTAGCCCCGGCAGGTAGATATCTTTATCCCATGCAGGTAGATATCTTTAGCCCCGGCAGGCAGATATGTTTAGCCCCGGCAGGTAGATATCTTTAGCCCCGGCAGGCAGATATCTTTAGTCCCTTTAGGTAGATATCTTTAGCCCCTTTAGGTAGATATCTTTAGCCCCGGCAGGTAGATATCTTTATCCCATGCAGGTAGATATCTTTAGCCCCGGCAGGCAAATATCTTTAGCCCAGGCAGGTAGATATCTTTAGCCCATGCAGGTAGATATCTTTAGCCCCGGCAGGCAGATATCTTTAGTCCCCTTAGGTAGATATCTTTAGCCCCTTTAGGTAGATATATTTAGCCCCGGCAGGCAGATATCTATAGCCCCGTCAGGTAGATATCTTTAGCCCTTTTAGGTAGATATCTTTAGCCCAGGCAGGTAGATATCTTTAGCCCCGGCAGGTAGATATCTTTATCCCCGGCAGGTAGATATCTTTAGCCCCGGCAGGCAGATATCTATAGCCCCGGCAGGTAGATATCTTTAGCCCTTTTAGGTAGATATCTTTAGCCCAGGCAGGTAGATATCTTTAGCCCATGCAGGTAGATATCTTTAGCCCCGGCAGGTAGATATCTTTAGCCCATGCAGGTAGATATCTTTAGCCCATGCAGGTAGATACCTTTAGCCCATGCAGGTAGATATCTTTAGACCATGCAGGTAGATATCTTTAGCCCATGCAGGTAGATACCTTTAGCCCATGCAGGTAGATATCTTTAGCCCATGCAGGTAGATATCTTTAGCCCATGCAGGTAGATATCTTTAGCCCATGCAGGTAGATATCTTTAGCCCCGGCAGGTAGATATCTTTATCCCATGCAGGTAGATATCTTTAGTCCCGGCAGGCAAATATCTTTAGCCCAGGCAGGTAGATATCTTTAGCCCATGCAGGTAGATATCTTTAGCCCCTTTAGGTAGATATCTTTAGCCCCGGCAGGTAGATATCTTTATCCCATGCAGGTAGATATCTTTAGCCCCGGCAGGCAGATATGTTTAGCCCATGCAGGTAGATATCTTTAGCCAATGCAGATAGATATCTTTAGCCCATGCAGGTAGATATCTTTAGCCCATGCAGGTAGATACCTTTAGCCCATGCAGGTAGATATCTTTAGCCCATGCAGGTAGATATCTTTAGCCCATGCAGGTAGATATCTTTAGCCCCGGCAGGTAGATATCTTTAGTCCCGGCAGGTAGATATCTTTAGCCCCGGCGGGTAGATATCTTTAGCCCCGTCAGGTAGATATCTTTAGCCCCGGCAGGTAGATATCTTTAGCCCCGGCAGGTAGATATCTTAAGTCCCGGCAGGCAGATATCTTTAGCCCCGGCAGGCAGATATCTTTAGTCCCGGCAGGTAGATATCTTTAGTCCCGGCAGGTAGATATCTTTAGTCCCGGCAGGTAGATATCTTTAGTCCCGGCAGGTAGATATCTTTAGTCCCGGCAAGCAGATATCTTTAGTCCCGGCAGGTAGATATCTTTAGCCCATGCAGGTAGATATATTTAGCTCCGGCAGGTAGATATCTATAGCCCCGGCCGGTAGATATCTTTATCCCATGCAGGTAGATAACTTTAGCCCCGGCAGGCAGATATCTTTAGCCCCGGCAGGTAGATATCTTTAGCCCCGGCAGGCAGATATCTTTAGTCCCTTTAGGTAGATATCTTTAGCCCCTTTAGGTAGATATCTTTAGCCCCGGCAGGCAGATATCTATAGCCCCGGCAGGTAGATATCTTTAGCCCTTTTAGGTAGATATCTTTAGCCCCGGCAGGTAGATATCTTTAGTCCCGGCAAGCAGATATCTTTAGTCCCGGCAGGTAGATATCTTTATCCCATGCAGGTAGATATCTTTAGCCCCGGCAGGCAGATATCTTTAGCCCCGGCAGGTAGATATCTTT